TAATGAAGTCTTTAACCTTTAGGGTTACATTTTAGGGGGCTTTTAGGGGACACTTCCAAACAATAGCTGCCTACTGCTGTTTCATCAAAACCCAAGGTGCTGTTTTAGAGGTACTATGTCCTTGACCCCACCATCCTCTTAGTGACAAGTTTTATGAAGGCATGTGATCTGGAAAATGTCATTTGTATTCTGTCCCATTTGTTAATAATACACATTGGTTGAGTACACACAGGGCCTTAGATTTTGTGCCACTATAACAGGATACCACAGACTAAGTCATTTATAAAGAACAGAAAAATTTTTGCTCCCAATTCTGAGAGCCCAAGATCAAGGTACCAGAATCTGGTATGAGCTTTTCCTACATCTGCACGTGGCAGAGCAGAAAGGAAAGAGCATAGGTCCACTCTTATAGTCCCTCTTTAGGGAGCATCCATCAGTCATGATTGCAGAGATTTAATGATCTAAACACCTCCCAAAAGTTGGCAGTGGGGATTCTTAACAACATACAAAATTGGTAAGAGACATATAGACCATAGCACACATTCATTTATGTATGCATGCTTATGCCTTACATAGTAGTGTGTGCATATGTGATACAACACACATAAACATATACACACATGCATATACATATTGCTTGATAACCTGCTTTTTACAGCTAAATCAACTCTGTGTCATTGATTTTCTCCACTCATCATTGTAAAGAACAGCAGAGAATTCCTCTATGAATTTGTGCTAGTTTAGCTGATCATTCTTACTAAATGATCTTGTCTAGTTGTTTACTGTTAAACTGTCAGAAACATCCTTATAACCGTAGTGTGTGCAGATCTGTGTTGTGTTTATTTTTAACTGGGTCTGCTGATTCAGACCGTTTGATCTAAGAGCAAAAGATATTCAAGCCTTTTATGACCCCCTTACTGTTTTGTGTGTGGGGGAGCTGCAGGGCCACACAGAATGGGGTGGGGGTTTTGAGCAGGATATTTAGCTCAGGCCTAGAACCACCCAGTCCAAGCTGATTAGCTTAGATTTAGTGCCTTAATCTTTCTGGAACTGTTTCTTTGTTTTTCCGTTGAGTATGTGTCACAGGCTTTGTAGTGCTATTGAGTGAGATAAGGTGTGTGAGGTGCTTGTGTAAGGCACATGGTAACCTCTAAATCAATCAGTCCAGCTTGGGGATAGGAAGTGGACCAAACCTCTATGCTGATACAGTCTTAAAGTTCTGAAAGAGGGTAAGGGTACAATTGAGACAGGGTCTCCCTGTAGCTTCAGCTGGCCTAGAACTCAGAGAGATCCGCCTGCCTCTGTGTCCCACGTGCTGGGATTACAGTCATGCACCACCATGCACAGCTAAACCTCTGTTCTTTAGTTTCCATTGGTGGATCAAAGCAAAAGAGAAATAATAACTACACTTTGTGCATGGCTGGCCTCACAGGCATGTTAGTGCTGTGACACGGGGCCTTGTGTTTATTTTTATGCACTGCTGACCCTGTCTTGAAATTCTTAATTTTGAGTGAGGCTCAATGTTTTAATTTTCCTCTGGGTACCATGAGTTAAATAATGATTCCTGCCCGTAAGATCGTTGGAAGGGCACCTGGGATATAGCTCAGTGGAAAAGCATTTGCCTAGCATATGCTGCAAGGTCCTGGGTTCAACCTAAGCACTGGAGAAAAAAAAAAAGATTTTTGGGCAGGCTGGAGAGATGACTCAGCAGTTAAGAGCACTTGGACATTGCATGACACAGGTGTACTCGCATACATGCCGGCAATACACTCATACACATAAAATAAAAATAATAAATAAAATATTTTTTAAGTTTTTCTTTTATTTCTCTGTGTGTGTGTGTGTGTGTGTAATATGTATGTGTTTGTGTGTGTGTGTGTAAATGCAGGCATAGGCATGCCACAATGCAAACACGGAGGTCAGAATATAATCTCCCAATGTTGGCTTGCACCTTCCACCTTGTTTCAGACATCACCAGTACATTCACTAGCCTGGCTTCCCAGGATTCTCCTATCTCAGCATCCCATCTCACTGGCACTGCAGATACACACTGCCATGCCCAGCTTACATGAATTCTAGGAATTTAAATTTAGGTCTTCATTCTTTTTTTTTTTTTTTTTTTTTTTTTGAAGCAGGGTCTCCCTGTAGCCCCAGCTGTCCTGGAACTCACTATGTAGACCAGGCTGACCTTGAACTCACAGAGATCCTCCTGCCTCTGCCTCCCAAGTGCTGGGACTACAGGCGGGTGCCACCACGCCTGGCTTAGGTCTTCATTCTTACACAGCAAGTTCTAACCTAATGAGCCATCTCCCCAACCTTAGCTGTTTTTCATGAGCAAAGATAATCATGATGAGCACATTTGAGATATTTAATTATGAAAATGGCAGGATTCAGTATATAATTAATCTCATTTTAAAGACAGGGAAACTGAGGTCCAAGAAATTAAATAACCCGTTAAAATCACACAATTCATAAATGCAGAGTTTGACAGCAAACCACGTTCTGTCTCATTCAAGGCCTGCAACACTGACCTATTCTCTTTTTTCCATGAGAGCTTATCTCTGTGAAACTCCATATTTAAGCTTCCTTGATTCCCATCAGCAGCCCAAGTCTTGTCTTTGTGGGGTTTCAGTGCCCCTGTAAGTGGTCACGATTCCCACCAGACCTAGAGCCAGTTAGGGTCACACCAAACAGGAAAACAAAGTCTCCTTCTCACCCTCAGTCATCATGACCTGTCTCATCCCATCCTGACGTACCCCCAACCTCCCAACCCTGCCCAGAGCTCCCCAGCCTGGTGACTGGCTTCCTTTGCTCCTGGTAAACTTAGCTTCAGATAAGTAGCATCCAACTAGTACCTCCAGACTACCTTAAGCATCAGTGGGGATCTGCTGCATTAGATGCTGGGAAGGAGTCTGTGGGGGAGGCCTGTTTTAGACCAAGTATCTCTTGAGCAAAATTCCAAAATCTGAAATGCTCTTTAACCTGAAAATTTTGAGTGCTGACATATACTATAAATGGAAAAGGTATATTTATACTTGACCTCGTGTTACAATCAAAACACAAGTATACTGAAAATACTGTATAAAATTGCCTTCAGGCTGTGTATGGAAGGTGTTTTTGAAACATAAATGAATTTCATATAAACTTTGGTCCCGTCCCTGAGATTTCTCATTACGTATATGGAAATATTCCAACACACAGACCCCTATCCTAGACACACTTCTGGTCCCAAACATTTCAGATAAAGCATACTCAAGTAGTACCAGTAAACTGAGGATGTGGCCATCTGTCCTACAGCAGGGATCCCTTGCCTTCCCACAGTGACTGGCCATGATGTACTTTGCCCACTCTTCCCTGCCTAAAGGAAAGCCAATCCATCCTACCACAGTGCTCTCATGCAGGCTGGATGGGGTGTGGGGAAGTTCTAGTTCAGGTGTGTGGCCTCAGGAGGGGAACTTGAAACATGAGCAGTCCTCTTGGATAGCTAGATTTGGATTTAGGATGTAATGAGACTGTTATTTCGAAGAACTCCGGACATGTCTTGTCTGCTTGAGACTTTTGTAATTTGAACAGAGACTGGGGGAAGCTGGAAGGGAAAGCCATCTGTTCCAGAATAGTCTCCCAGTGACGTGAACAAAAGACTGTAGAGCAAACTGGAGGGGGTGGGTTCAGCAGAGTACTCCTGTCTGGTGAATCTGGCCCCACCCTGAGGGCTCTGGCCCTTATGTTTGTTGGAGACTCACACGCAGCTTTCAAAGGCAAGTCCATGGGAACTACTGTTAGATGGTTTGAGTGGGACAAAGGCAAGGAGGATCAGGACAAGCTTGCTGGCCTTCTCTCTCTTGCCAACATGCATTCTAGAAAATAAAATTTGAATTTGAACTACGAAGTGAACTTTGAAGCTCAGTCTCATCCTTAAGCCATTAGCTATGCATGCCTTTGATTACAATTAACTTAACCAAATGAAAACGTGACAACCCTTTATAAATTAAGTGCGGGTTTTTTATTTACTCATCTCTGTTAGTGTTTCAATTCTGAAATTTATTTATTTCCCTTAAGTGCGGGTTTTTTATTTACTCATCTTCTGTTAGTGTTTCAATTCTGAAATTTATTTATTTCCCTTAAAATATGAACCAAAGAATAAAGGGGCCAATATAATTTCTTAAGAGTCCATATGCATAGCTAAAGGCTGCATAACAAGCAACAATGCCAGACAGGCGATACCTTCTTTTGAGTTGTTGGCCAGGGTGGCCAAAAGGACTCCCAGATAGTAACCCAGCATAGAACCTGGAAAATGAACAGCAGACCCCAATCTTATCCAAAGGAATATTGACAACTGATTACTGCTAAGTGAGGAACAGCTGACCCTCCTAAACAAAGACCTCTAGATAGGCTGACTAGATTCGCCAGAAGGGCAAGTAGTGGGGAATGGCTGGGGGTGCCGACAACACAGCAGACAGTAGCAGGGATATCAGAGTATAAGGGCTCTAGTCGGGGGAGGGAGGCTATGGAAGGGTGCTATCTGGGAATTGGGTGTAAAAAATTAATTAATTAATTAATTAAGAATATGAGACAGTGTATTGGTTTTCTGTTGCTGTGATAAAATACCATGATCAAGGCAACTTATGGAAGAAAGAGTTTATTTGGACTTAGAGTTTCAGAGAGAAAGTCCGAGAGAGAGAGAGAGAGAGAGAGAGAGAGAGAGAGAACCAGAAGTAGGGCAAGTGTATGAGTTCTCAAAGTCTACCCCCAGTGACACACTTCCCCCAGAAAGTCTTCACCTCCTCTAGATTCCATGACCTCCCAAACAGTATCACTGATTTCAGACCAAGTGATCACATATTTGAGCCTTCCAGGGGATATTTCTTATTCAAACTACTACCACAGGACAGTGTTCTTGCTTTTGAACTATGGCTTATCTCACTTAGCAAAGGATACTCATGTTTTATTTTGTCTTCTAACCCTGTGTGTGCCTTTGCCTTTTTTCTTTTTGCTATTAGGCATTCATGCAACCTCATTTGCTGGGAAATGAGTTCACACACTTGGAGTTTCCAAGGAGAGTTCAAAGAAAGGAACTTGGAAAGAAGATGCTCTACAGGGACTTTAATATGACAGGCTGGTAAGAACATACCTTGAGCCACTTCAGCACCATGGTACCATATAAAGCCACTTAAGTAGTTAAGGTCAGCAGGGGCCACAAGACCTGGGTTCATGGTGAAGGACAGCAACCTACAGGCACTTAGGACCAATGCTCAGATTACATGCATTGCTCTGCTTCTCTGAGGGCCCCCTTGGGGACACTGGATCCCACAAACCTGGCTTCATTTCTCGTTTCCCATGAGATCATTTGGAGGCTTCTAAAATACATTGTTTTATGTTTTTAGACTGGTGCTATAAAAGAGGTAGAAGGACTCAAAGGAGTCTGCCAAGGACTGAGCCATGCTGGCTTGGGTTTGGATTCTGAGTCTTGATTTTCTAAATAACCAAAGGTGGGTAAGCTACTTAGCCCCCAAGAGCCCATTTTAACATGAATAAAGTCGAAAAACAGTATCATCTTTGAAGAGATAGTGTAAAGTCTGGAGATGAGGAATTTTAATTACAAGTCCCTTCAGTATCCATGAGATTAATTAGTTCCAGGATACTCTACAGATACCAAAATCTGAGGTTGTTTAAGTCCCTTATATAATATGGTACAGAACACCAGGTGTGGTGGTGCACACCTGGTACAGTGCTCAGGAGGCAGAGGCAGGTAGATTTCTGTGATATCAGGGCCAACCTGGTCTACATTCCAGGCCAGCTGTGACTACAGGGAGACCAAATAAGTAAATAAATAAGATAAAATAGCACAGTGTTTGCCTGTGGTCTATGCATCTTCTCCCTCTATGCTTCAGATCATCTGAGACTGCTTAAAATATCCAACCCAATGTAAATGCTATGTTCATATTGTTTTCCTGTATCATTTAGGGAATAATGACAAGTTTGGGCATTATCACTATAGGTACTTTATATTTTTTCCATTCACAATTGATTGGATATATACACTTACAAGACCTGTAGACATAGGGGGTTGTGTTTTATCACATTCAGATTGAAATAAGAACTCTTGACATGGGCTACTTTATTCTCAAAGCACACCAAGACCACTGTCTAGAGTAGAACAGTATCTAGTGTTGACTAAAACCTCATTTATGGGCTGTACTGCATTTACCTCATTGTCTGCATAATAGGCAGGATGACAGGAGTTATACATGACAGGGTTGATGTAGGGACTCAGTGAGAAAGCCCTACCTGGCACATTGAAGTAAGTGTGTGTGAAGATTTGCTCTTCTGTCCTGAGATTCTAATGAGGGAGCCTTTTACCAGTCTGGAGGACAGAGAAGAATGCAACAATTTACTCTTTCTTTACCACATCTCCAACAAAGGTAAAAAAGGTGTTCTCTCTTCTTCCCTGATCAAAACAGTTGTAACCGATGATCACGGCCCAAATTGCCATGGTGATGATGTTGAAGCTGGGGGTCTGGGCACATACTGTCGTGAAAGAACAAGTTGAACTTCTGAAGGAGGACAGAGGCTGGTCTAAGGAACTTCTTGTTGTCCTTTGCCAGGTGGAAAAGCAGGTCATTATCCAGACCCACTCTTCTTACTGTCGAATGAGGTCAGCAAACCATGACTAGAGAGCCAAAGTCTGTTCACCACCTGTTTCTATAAATAATTATTTAATAACACTATACCGGTTTATATCCAATCACAGTGCCCCAGAGTACTGTGTTGTTACAGAGTTACAGGAGAGTCTGTATGACCCATGAAGCCTAAAATATTTCCCTAGCTCTGAAACAGAAAGGGCTCATGGTATTTGCAGCTCTGAGTTTTTAAAGTCCTAGAATCATTATTCTAACCTTGACTAGGTTTTCTTCTAATCCATTTGTATTCAATCAGAAAAATCAGCACTTCTTGCAAAAATGTAGAAGGTAAGGGTGAGAAAAATTTGAAAACACATTAAAGGGTTTTGGTATAAGTATTGGAGAATTTGGCAAGACAGCAAGACAGGTTAGGACCCCATGCAATTGTAGACATATGAAAGAAGATTACATCTAAAACGGCAAAGTGGAAAAGGGCTAAACACAAGGAGAAACTGTAGGAACAGACTAAGCTTGTATTAAGGGAAGATAACGGGACAAGGGAAGCCAGACCATAATTTAGAGCTACAACGGGACACTATAGGCCACTCGTGTATTCCTGAGGACAGCGAATGGAAGTGAGGTTTTCAGAAGACTCTCAAGGGGATTTTGGAGTAGACTGAGTCCAGAAAGCAGATTCAGAGAAAAAAAAATTCATTCATTCATATTCATTCATTCATATATCTATTCAGATATATATACATTCATGTATATGTATCCTTGAGGTCTCCTGAGCTAAACAAAGGAATGGAAGCAGAAAATAGTAAAAATAGAAGCGAACAAGAAACAAAACTGTTTAGGTATAAATATCAGGTATAAATCAGCAGCAGCTCCAGTAATCTATTTACATGTCTCTCAGTTACTGTGTATGCTCCTTGAAGAGACACCAGAACTCACAACAATGCTTGGCACAAAGCAGACCGGCAGCAATTTTTTATAGATGAAAGAGGACAAGTGCAATCGGGTCAGTGTGTGGATGGTTGGCGTGTGGATGGTTGGTGAGAAGGGTGGGAATGAGTTTGCTATTGAGACATGTTGAACTTGAGATAAGGCTGTTTGCTTATTCTTTCTAAACCAGGAATATGAATCAGATGGAAACCCTGAGAGTCAATACCATGCCTAGGGTGTCGTAGGAAGAGTATCTTTGTAGCAGACACTTAGAGTGTCAGTTCATTGTGGAGAGAGAGGGCTTAATGTTTCTCACTGGCTTTGGAAAGCACTTCTGAGAATAGGCGTCATCACTTTAATGGGAAAGATGCTTTCAAAGGCTGTAACCATTCACTCAAACTGTGATGAGGTTAGTTGTTTTTTCGTTTTTTTTTTTTTGTTTTTTTTTTATGTTCCCCTCTTCAATCTCTTGAAGCTGTACTTTTCAAGTGGCTCATATATCTTTCCCTTTAACAAACAGCTAAAGTGCCCTCATTTTGTAATTTTTTTTAATGTAAGTAAGTTCAGGAACTAGATTATATCCAACTTTATATGCACTTTATATATAGCAATGGGTGGGTGGACCCTTTGTTAGATTCAGAGAAATGAGTTCTCTTCCTTCCCCTCCCTCCCCATGTGTGTTAGCCTGGCCCTACGCAGATAAGAAGTCCATAGATGAGCTGTTTTCTAATTGTGTGGAGCTTCACAGTACTAAGTAATTGAGTAGTAGCCAAGACTGAAAATGGCTTCATGAGATGGGATTTGATTCGTTCCCAGTGTTATTTCCCAGTGTGGCTGTTGACTTATGAGGTTGGCTATGAGCAGAACTTTATGTGCACCTTGTGTGTTTCCTACCTGTTCTTGCTTTTGATTTGAAAATGGGTCTTAGGAGAAGGAAAGCCTTTATATTTTTGTTGGGGGCACTTGGGAAGTTTAAAGCTCATTTATACCACAGCCTGTCTAAACCCCTACTTCTACCCAATTTAAATAAGTTACTTTTGTTATAACTATTTTTACCCTGTGACAACAGAAAGCCTCAGCTCAAGCAGTCTTTTGTTTTCTTTTCATTTTATTTTATTTTATTGAGACAGGGTCTCATGTAGCCTGGGCTGGCTGGAACTTGCATGCTGTGTAGCCGGAGATGAAGTCAGGGCCTTGTACATGCTCAGGAAGTGCTGTCACTGAGCAGCATACATAACCCCAGGAGGACTTTAGCTAAGTGTCCAATCATGCACCGGGGCTACACTCCTAATATGTCTCTACAGCGCAAATGCTGGGATTATAGGTGTATGCTATCACACTTGGTTTTGCAGTCCTGTGGACAGAACTTGGGGCTCTGTGCATACTAGGCAAGCACTCTACCAACTGAACTATACCCCCAGTTCTCAGGGAGTCATTTTCAAGGCTGTTAGCTACTTTCTCAGTGATCTGTAGAAGAGAAAGCTTGCAGCATTAATTTATGGAATGAGCATTGAGGATCTACACCTCCTCCCACCCTCCCCCCAGAGCCTTAAATGTCTACCAAGTGGGTAGGTGTGGTTGCAAGTGCATTGGTGAGCACTGGGTGTGTGTCTAGCTCCAGGTTGCAAATGATACCTTACTTACCTTGTCTTTCTGTTTCTTGACTTCAGAAGAAACCTTGGGCTATGAACTCATTTCTCTGAAATGTCTATCAAAAGGTCCACCCACTCCTAAACTGTTTAATCCTTGTAGGAAATTCCTAGTTGTGGAGGATTTTACTTCCCCTGTTGCCCTATTAATCATGATAGTGATGGGACTAACAGTTATTGGAGGAGCTAAGGTCCAAGCCCTAGGATGACAGCTGTATCTTTTACTCTTAAAACAGCCCAATAAACTAAGTAGATTTTACAGATAAAGGAACTGACGGACAGAGTTTAACCTGTTCATGGTTGCCAGACTGGTAAGGGGAAAGTCTGGGATGTGGACCCAGGCGCATGCTATCAAGTATGCACTGTTGTCTGCTGTGCTACACTGCATCAAAGAATGAGTCCCCCTTGTTCCTATTTCAAGATTGAGTGAATCAAGACCCACAAGGACCCAGTTTGCTCAGCTTCCACCAACACAGTGTCAGAGTAAGGTCTGGAACCTAAGTGTCTGAGTCTTCCAGAACTGGTACAATATGCCAGTCAACTTTTCCCAGGATAAGAGCAGACATCTTTACTCAGTTTTGAGCTCTGATAGAAATAAGCAGGGGACCTCTATTCACATTGGTATCTTTTCAGTGGTCCTGTATGGAACAAGAGGATAAAACGATGCATTTGTAGGAGCCTGACTTTTCCCACTCCCAATGTGGCCTGATAGACCACTGGTCAAATTAAACCGTAATGCCTCACACTCATCACTCAGTCTGAGCGTGCTTGGGGAATAGTGGTGGTGGGGAAAGATCTCCAAAGAACCAAACCTCCTGTGCTTAGGGAAATTGACGGCCCTCATTAGGAGAGCATCGTGCCAGCATTCTGTGGTGTGTCTGCAGCAGGGAGGAAGTGTGGGAGAG